TCGATGTCTTAATACCAGTTTTATGTGTGGTTTAGTTATTACCTGACAATAGGAAAGGACTGAACACAATGTGCGATAAATTGGATATGAAATCATTGAACGCTTTATTGAATCAATTGGACGACTCAAGCGAAAGACATCTGGTTCTGTCATTACCCAAGTTTACTATTAAAACAGGTTTTTATTGTCAAACAAATTTAAATTATGTGTTTATTTATTGTTTGTAAACTATTTTCACGGCTAGAATACGATTTAGAGGACGGATTTAAGAGATTGGGCCTCAAATCAGTGTTCAACTCTTCTGCCGACTTGTCCAGCATTAATGGCGACAAAAAGTTACATTTATCTCAAGTCATACATAAGGCCTTCGTTGAGATTAAAGAGGAAGGCATTCAATCATCAGAATTATCGGAACTGTTATACATTCCGGCCGTCAATCCATTTGTCCGACACATTCCCGTCAAAGTCAACAAACCCTTCCTATTCATCATAAGAGACAACAATTCAGATCTGATTTTAATGTTGGGTCAGTTGCGGGTCCTTTGATTCAAATCATAAATTATAAAGTTATGCTTTAAACTAAATACAAAAAAATCTCACAATAAAAAATTTTGGTAAATTTAAAGTCATTTATTTCAAAGTCAATCACATTTTATGTTATTTTTTTGTGGAAAGTTTTTCTGTCGCCAACAAAACAAGTTTAAAAGTCAACGAAAAAAATATAAGTTTAAGAATGAAATCAAGAAAAACTTGACATAACTTTCCGGTCAACAACACATTCAATAAGTATTTTTCAATTTTACGCAACATATGATTATATAGTCTCTGTCTCTCTGTGTGTATAAAGTGACGAGAAATTTGTTGAAAGTCAGAGGAAGTGGTGTCCAAACTATAATTGCCAAAACATCTATTGGGAAAGAAATGTTGCCTTTAATAGCAGTGATTTTGACGTCAATTCCAACACTAATCCATTCAACGGATACATCGGAATTCACTCAACAAAATAATAGATTTGCATTCAATCTGTTAAATGTTTTGCCGCTAAATCAAAATCATTTCTTCTCTCCTCTAAGTATCACTCATTCCTTATATATGTTATTAAACGGAGCGAACGGACGGACAGAGACTGAATTGAAGGCATTGTTCAATATTCACACAAATGGTATTCAATAATTATAGTCAAAATATTTGCTATCAATAGGAAATTGCATTAATTTTTCACACTTTTAGAAACTCTTCAGCCAATGAATGAGAACATTAAAAGTACATTACATTTAATAAATAGTAAAAATTCCAACGACTCGGTTATCCGTTTGGCAAATCGTGTTCTCATATCAAACATATATAATTTGACCAAAAGTTATAACAGTGTTATGAGAGACACATTCAATGCGAGCGTCGATTCGGTTGACTTCACTCAAAACGCCGACAATATTACCAATAATATTAA